TTTTTTTTACGTTGACTACTCCGAAGTCGACAGATTGTTAGTGGATTCAAGCAGTAGCACTTAGAAATTTCCTCTCGTGAGTGTATGGATGAGCGAGAGAATAGTGAAAGAGCTGTTGGTGGATTGGGATTATTCAACGGGGACAGGCCATATACGCAAAGTTTTGCTGGAGCTTTAGAGAACTAGGTAGTTGGTTCGCTGTTTAATCAAATAGATAATGGTATAGCGCACCCCGTGGACTTTGTACAAACTAACTTTTTTAACCGGTGTACTGCACGGTTGTTCGGTACTACAGGAAACCATCAGGCAAACGTATCCATTAGGGGTGAAGAAACGAATTTTGAGCCAAACGAAAGTCTTAGTTTTTCGAGGAAAATAGACGCCTTGCTCGAGATGTCTGCACCAAGCTCGCCAGTTGCTGTTAGTGATGCAAATCATTGAGAACATAACCATGGCGGTGACTCGGGAGTGGCACACCCGAAGCCTCAGGAGAGTGGGCCGAGCTCCAGTGCGACCAATATGGATCAGCTGAGCCGCCTAGTGGCAATGATTACATAGCAAAATGAAATGGTAGCGCAGTGTATGAACGAGGTCCACAACATGAGGACTAACGTGTCGAACCTGAGCCAAAGAGTCACCGAAATGGAGATATCCGCCCAGGCTGTATGCAACCAACCTGCATCAGCATCGACACCAGGGTATGCAGGACATGTTGGGGAGGCAAACAGGCGAAGTCAAGCGTTACAACTGCCACAGGAAGCTTTTGACGATTTTTATGGCGAGGTTCACAACTTGACTTTTAGACTGCGAAAAAAGATTCCCGAAAAAGAATTAGTGGGAATAATTAAGGGAAATCTAAAACCATACCTTGCCAACCTCACATTTGCTTCAAAAATAGATACGTTGGCTGAATTACGAGCTGAATACAGGCGTGCTGAACGGCTGATTAAGGAGAATTAGAGCGGTTAACGATTTAGAATACCCGGACATATCAACTTCAGATGAAGCAATGGGTGGTAGATTCGTGGAAGCTATAAGAAATCCCAACAAGTTAAAGGCTCAGTTCAATCAACAACCCAGGGTGAACAGTAGGCCTAGCGTTAATCCACAAGATAAAGCAGAGTCGACGTCTGCCAATCCCAAGTCCACCATAAGCTCATTTTGTCCGTCGCCGTTTCATTTAATGTTGTGTTTTAAATGTGGAATGCCTGTCGATTTGTATGTCAAAAATCCAGTTGAAGCGAAGAAAGAAAGTCGGTGTATGTCTTCGTTTCATAGTATGATCTGTTTTGCGTGTGGGGG